TAGGTACCTATATAAATATAAATATATAATAAAATATCTTTAGAAATATAGGCTGACAGACTGACTATCTCCGCTGAGAGTCGTGTTCTGTACGCAAAGATGATTTATATAGATTTAAAATCCCATCTATTTCAGTATAAGTAACCTACTCAATGATAAGGTACACTCGATACCTATTATACTGTAGACTGTAGAACCACTTCCTCAGCATTTCATGTTTATTTAATTTAAAATCATGGTTATTTTATAAAGTATTATTTATAAGATAAATGTTACATAATTTGTATGCCCCTAAGTTTATACACATTGTAAAATATAATCACACTATACCTACCTATACTTATACTATATAATATATTATTAAAATTTATAATTTTACACACTAACGCCTCTAGCTTATGCTTGGTTCATCTTGCATAAAACTATTTTATCATTATTTATTTACTAATGATACTAATGTCTGCTATAATTTCACTAAAACAACATGTATTGTATGATCAGTGTCGTAATAGAATCAGATATTATAAATAATAATATAGTACCTCCAACAAGGTTATACACATTTCATCGCAATACTTTGTGGTAGGCACGTAATTATAATAGGTACCTACCCGCCAGTACCAGATATTGATAGGTTGTGGATGCCCAATCATTTTTTCTGTTACGTTTTACAACTTACGTAGTTACGTCTCAATCATTGAATCATGTATTTAGGTATTGTACTATTATACATTTATACTTATATCGCATTGCATGGCTATATATAATAACTAATAAATAATTATTTATTACAATAGTTTAATTTATTTCTCATACATTAATCATTTTACACCAATAACCTATATTTTATTTTCTTATAGTTACCACATATGGTATCAATTAAAATATTTAATATAACTTTTAAAGATATTATCAGTACATTTTAGATTCTGAGCGGAGCGATGAATGTACTGATTTTACTATGATGTGTGTTCTTTTTTTATTTTTGTGTGTCATTATTAACGACTCGTTAATGTTTTGGTCAGTAACACTGCTTCGATTTTCTTCAACAGTATCTTATTCGTTGGGAAAGTGAATCTAATTGGTTCATTGGGGAGGTCAACATCTAAAATGCATAATAGTTTTCAAAAGCGTAAGGAAAAACAAAATAAAAATTAAGGAAAAACGGTAGTTTTTCCTCTAAATTGGTTTTCGACAAAATTACATATTAAATAACCAAGAATAACGATTTTAGTTATTTTTTTTGTAATTTTATAATCTTTATTCAACTTACCGGCTACCGTATTTATAAGTATAATAACAATATAAATATAATATAAAATATATCCACACTGACCAACTGTCACCTCTCAAAATCGTTATTCGTACTTATACAATTCTACTATTTTTCATATCAAATATTAAATAAACAGGTATACTATTATAAATTGTATTTCTTCTATAAGAATGTAAGATGTAGATATTGGTATCAATAAATATTATACCTCTTTGAAATCTAAAACGTATTGCTGAAAAGTGGTATTCAAAATGTATGTAAGGTAGGAACGTGGGGGGAGGGGCAAAGCCCCCACGGGTCTCATAGGCGCAACTAGAGGCCAAACACTGGGGGTGCTAAAATTATGTAGAGAACACAAACCCGCGGGGGCTACGCCCCCACACCCCAAAATAACATACTTTGATTTTATAATTACTATAACCATTTCTAAATGCACCATGAACACATATGGACACTTATATTTAAGTAAATCAACAGTAATATACCTGATGAATACATGAGGTATATTATATTATTTAGGTGATAAAAATAGTAACCTGGAAGTGTAAATAGATAAAAAAAAAAATTTGGTCAAGTGGGTACCATAAAAAGTCAAGTGTTTAAAGAATTTACGATGTATGGAAAATGCTATTATAAATATTTGGTGAACATTTCAAGAGTCTGCGGTTATTCATTTTGGAAATACAACAAAATCCAAAAAATCGATTAATGGGAATTCGATTTACCGCTGAATATCGAATATCCTGACAATTATAAGTTCGAACACTCATAAAAAATTCAAGTTTAAGTATACGTTTTTTTTATAGGTAGACAAACTTATGTGAAATATTTTACTAACATTTTTGATATTGGGCTTTAACTGTGAAAAGAAAATATTTTATGAATTGCTAACTGAAAAATAACTAAAAGTATTTGAAAAATTTCTCAGTTATAAATACCTCAAAAAGAGTCAAAATTGTTTAAACATTTTACCATGTAAGGAAAATTTTAATTTTAACATTTGATACAAATTTCAAGTATCTAGGGATTATTCGTTTTTAAATTACAACAAAATATCAAAAATTTATAGATAAAATGTCGTTAATTTACTGATAAAAATTGAAAATTGAATGTTGTACACATTTTAAATTCAAACGCTCATAAAAAATGTATGTTACTTTCCAGTAAACTTTTTTTTTTGTTCAAGATAGTACCAATTGTGAGGAGTCTTCTAACAACATTTAAAATGTTAGCTATGATAGGAAAAACTTTTATAAATTTCTAACTAAAAATTTCCAAAAAAAAATGAAGAATTCTAAATTCTAATATTTGATATACCTATAATCATTACAAACAATAATTTGTGTTTCTGCTAAAAACGAAGAAATAAAAAAAACCTTAAGTAAAGCTAAAAAAACTATTTTTTTCATATGATTTTTCAATTTTTGCTGTTTTTGAACTGGGGGTGCTAAATTAAAGTTTGGGGGTGCTGAAGCACCCCCCTAGTTGCGCCTATGAGTCGGGTCTATGTTGAATAATTGCTCACCCGGAAGTTGGAACGCAGTTTTTAAATCGTTGGTTTGAGCTCCTCTACTTAATTTTTCCCAATTCAAGCACTGCTTATTCACCCTTTCAATCATTCTTTTTATGTAGGTATCTCTGATACCTATATGAAGTATGAGTCTATGAAGTACCTACCCTGGGACTGGAACCTTTTGAATTTATCGGTATCAGTATCCGGTACTGGTTCTCCAAAAATAAAATAAATGTTCTTGTTCGGTTCTGGTTTTTTAATAAAAAAAAAATAAAGGTATCGGCTCCAAATAATTTTTGTACCGGTTCCAGATAATTTAGGAACCGAAAAGTATAATAATTTTAAATATCCATCCGTAATGCGGGTTTAATGAATAGTATGAGAAACATTAGAAAACTCATAGGATCATACATAGTTAATACACAAAACAGTATTACTATTAATTATTAAATATAATAAATAAAATTATTTTATTTTTGAACCTAAAAGAACCTATTTAATTAAAAGAGTTCCGGTTCGGTTCCGGTAGGTACTTAATATTTAAAAGGTTCGGGTTCCAGAACCGGTGCTTTTAGGTTCGGTTCCAGTCCATTTACCTATCTTCTATTAACGAATCAAATAACCTATGTTAAATGAGCAAATAATAATATAGTATATTTATATCTACTCATAGTAAAATAAATATAATTAAGATAATGAATTCAGTAAAGATTTTCAGTAAGTACTTATAATTTTAATTAGGTCACTACAATTTTTTGTAAAAATTAGATTAATGGAAGTGCCCGAATTTGGCCCAATGAGAACCACAGCATTGTATATGTATAGGTAGGTATACACAATAAAATAATAATTTTCAATTTTGGTGTTTAAAATTTAACATAAAAAATGGACTATTATTGAAACTAATATAATATATTGAATTACCTACTTACACTGATGCCTGATAATGATAAGTGATAACAATACGTTTATCCTAAAACTAATATTCAAATCATAAATACATATATAATTTCTATAATGTGTAGGTAGGTAGGTAATAGTCAAACGATAGGTATATTATATAAATATGATATATAATATACCTACAGGCTACAGTAGGTACCTGGTACCTAGTACAATTTTTAATGACGCAGATTAATTAAATATTCATACTTTGCTACTAGGTATATTTTACGTATTACCTAGTGCAATGTGTTGAGAAAATAATTTAATTTAATTTATTATATTATAATATATATAATATGTATTTTATATTATAAAATTAATGTTCTTAGTGTTCTTACTAATAGATAGGTACCTATAATATTAAACGTTTTCTTCAAGAAAACTGTATTCAGTCAAGCTTTAATTTCATTAACACAACTATAACGGCTGTAGCTGCAGTAACTAGGGTATTTTTTACCCTCACTAAATGGATTTTTGTTGTTGTTACCTACTTGTTGTTGACTACCTACGCACTTCGTATGTAGCGACGAATAAAAGAAAACCTTGGATAGCATCCATTGTTTAGAGCACGTAAAACTGCTTAACTATATCATGGAATTTTTATCGGGCATTTCATAATAGGTAGGTACCACAAATAAAATTCTCAACAACCAAAACTAATTCAAAAATATCACAAGACTCACGAATTTTCGTATTTTAAAGAACTAAACACAAGTCACAAATCTGAAATCAATGGCATATATTCACGTCATCCATTACTATACAATACTTTATTAACGTTATAACTTGTGGGTGATAGATTTTCCAAAATAAATAGTACCTAAGTACTAAATAGATACGAATATACGATATACCAATATAGGTAGGTAGTTGTATACGTACAATATACTACTTACCTATATAATTCACTAAAATTAGTACCTTTAGGCTTTAATGATATTAAGGCGTCAGAGTAAGGTAATGTATACTTTTAATAACTTGTCGACAACTATTTTGAATATTTTATAAAATTTGTTTCAATGTATCATAATTTATTACGCAGTTCATAATGTATTACTTATTACTTATTATTGACTATTTGTTATATTATAGCCCAGAGTATAAAATATTGCCATAGCAACACAATCAGAAGTTAATACATACAAACAATACTTACCTAGTATTCAGTCTGCAATATTTGTGTACAAGTGAACTCATTTTAAGCTTTTAATATTTATTATAAAATTATACCATACCTTCTGTTCTATTAAAAAAATAAATTTCTTCATGTCAGCAGTAAAAATGAAGATTCCAGGTACGTATTTATGTATTTTAGATAACCCAGCGTCCTAGTTATAATATATTTCACTGCCTGTAATTTATAATCATATCAACCATCCACATACAATAGTCAATATTATACATTTAAACTTTATCAGCTATACCTTACCTTAAATTTTCATAAATTTAACATTCGTATCAGACAGTGTTTACCTATATTGTTATTCTTTAACAATTATAGCTTAGATACATAGTGAATAGTGATTTAAGTTATTAAATAAATTGAATGTTTATTAAAAAAACTTTATTTGAATTATTTACTATATTTTCAATTATGAAAGATTGATTAAAATATTAATTAAAAATGAAATATTATTGGGTTAGCAGTACCTATGGCCGTAGGGTATCCTTCACCGAAAAAATATTCTGGATACGCTACTGACCTATGGCATATTGGCATGGTTCTAATTATATGAAAATTGGTATACAAATCTTCAAGAAAAAATCTCCAAAAATATTTCAATAAATAATACAAAATATTAAATTTTTAAATGAATAAACTATAAAGATAATCTGATAATTAATAAATTAATTATTACACCGTTGAGCGTTCCTAATATTTTTACTATAATAGTATAATGTAAGAACTTCAAATATTATTGAGAATAGGTAAGTACCTATTTAATATTAATTATTATTATTAGATTAATAATTTAATTTTGGATTTTGGATTTTCGGAGTGATGAATATATTGATTTCAAAGTTATGTGTATCAATTTTTTATCTCCTGTAAATAACCATGAAGACTAATATTAAAAATATAATTTAATTTAAAATTTGAATAAGTCTTGAAGTCTTGTCAAATACCAGTTTTGGTATTTTTATAACTTTTCATCAGACTTAAAATTAATATGTCTAGCACATTTTATTTTTTTCATGAACTTAACAATACCACCATCTATATCAGGATAAATTATACTATTATTATTAAAAACAATATGTTTGGAATAAAGTTACATGCAATTCTATGAATTCAGTTAAATGTGTAAATAACTATGCAAATTCTCAAAGTATAAACAGTTTATTAATATAACAGTTTTTACCTGTTTTGTTTTAGTGGGGCAATTAAGGTATTGATTATCTTACAATGTAGATATTATTGTGTTTTTTATATTTTTTTTTTGTCTTCATATTTTAGAGTACCAACCGAGTTAGTAAAAACTAACTTGAAAAATGTTTCAACTGAGAGGGAGATTTCTGGAAGCAAATTGGATTTAGTTAGTACCTACTTGTTACTGCGGGAAATCAAAATAAAAAAATTCGCAGTACTTTTCAAAATAACCGGGAAGAACAGGAAAAATTAAATTTTTACCAAATGTTTATGTTATAATTTATTATATTTCTTACATACACGTGGACGTGGTATAATTCTAAATATTTTGACTCTTTTTAGGCTAGGTATTAGACATATGTACACTCATGGGCTCAACTAGGGGGGTGAAAAAGGGTCTTTAGCACCCCCAAGTTCTAATTTAGCACCCCTTGTTTTTTTAGGTGTAACTATCATTATTTGTAAATTGTATATGTTTTTAAAATATGAAATATTATAGCACCCTACGTTTTAGAGGTTTATAGTGGCATCGGGTACACTACTACACTCACTCGACTGTACAGATGGTGTGAGGTGTGACCATTAGGGTGGCTACTAATTTAATTGTGAATTTGAATGCGAAAAACTACGTTATGTATTATAAAAAAGTTATGAACATTCGAATATACCACGTACGTGATACATTGGTAAATATTATTAACAAGTTATAATTTATAAATGACAACACTATTATTATTCGTCATTGCTAATGCCTAATAGGCAATAATAACCATATAGGTAGGTATAGTACCTGCCTATATTTTTTATACATAATCTTTCATATTATAACGCTTTTAAATACCTAATAAATAAAAATAAAAAATATAGGTAGTCAATTAAATGTATATTATTGTATTATAATATTTGTATATTATATTAGTATAGACTATAGACATGTAATAAATCATAATATAACGAGATTAATATTGTCTTGTTTTATAAACTTATATTCCGTACGACTGTGCTTGTATTAGATTATTAGAATAGTGAACTGTGAAATGATAAAAGAACTCTTTTAGTTGGTGAAATATGTAGGTACGCGTAAATGACAAAAGACCATGCATGCATGTTGCGGCAGGTTACAACATGACACAACAGTATGTAGCCCGTACTCTCAACTCTGTAGAACTGTATGATGTTAACTATAATTGTATTATATTACGCGTCTGCGTCAGTGGTTCCTAACCTTTTTAGATTTTTAGAGACGTTTCGGTGGCATATTATTGCCACTATATATTACAAACATTTTATTAAAATTACCGATATGACGATATAACGACATTTTTCTGAATTTCCGATAGGCATTATTTGGAGTAAAGGATTATTTGATATTATTTCCCATCGTTATTTTTTGTGTCCGTGTACACGATTAGTAATCGAAATAATGCTTCGATTTACAACTTCAGTATCTTGTTCGACGGTAAAGTGAATCTAGCAGTTGATACTTTTGGGAGGTCAAAATTTAAAATTCCCATGGGACAACTATTGCAATAGTTTTCAAAAACGCCCGGAAAAAACAAAATAAAAATTAAGGAAAAACATGAATTTTTACGCAAAATCGGTTTTTGACAAAATCGATTTTGGCTTTTTGTGTAACTTTAAAACAAATGACCGCAGATACATGACATTTTCATTGGTTGTTTATATTTTCATTTTTTATACACGATACAATTTTCAAAATATTTTCATTTATTTTTATCGTATAAAATGATTTATCATTGAATCCAAATTTAACATTATTAGCGAGGACATAACAATTGTACGTATGTAATACATTTTACTATACGCAATGACATACAAATATTTAGATTAATTTTAATTTTTACCTATTATATACTTGAACCCATTCTCACTATTATATACGGTAAGGTGGTATTGACTCTAATATAATATGATAGACATATACACAATTATACTAGTTAAATATTAACCATTGTCCCCACTTTTCCATGACCACCTTTCTATAATTTTGCAAACTCTCACATTATGGTGTTATTTTTTCAGAGCTTATTTTTCACGGGGTTTTTTATTCTTAGTTTTTTTTCGGGAACTAAATTTTCGAGCTTATTTTTGCGCTGTACCGATAAAAATATGTTACTGTACTACGAACGCTGTACCTACATAATTTTCATTAAGAAAAAATTACAAAATATCTGTCTTCCATACAAATAAGTATAAAATAAACATCGGTCATGAGATTAAAAATCTATTTGCTTTGTTCATTGTTGACAGAACAGACAGATAGATAGGTGTATATACTACTTATAATGCTTTATTCATTATTATGACTATTGTAGCTAATGTGTTGTAACTTAAATTATGGTAATAAACCATTTCCGTTTTGAAAGATAAATTATCTATATTTAGGTAGGTAGGTACCTATAAGATAAATCTACATTAGATATAAATTATTAGAATATTTAGTATTTTGCTATCTTAGTGTTATATGGACGCCTTGAGATATTGGTAACAAATTTGGATTTTAGATATTGTATTTATCACAGAAAGGCGAGAACTAATACAGAAACATTGAACATTTTAGCTTTTAACATTTATCCTTATTATCTATGATAATCATACTTCATAGCATACTAGTAAAATACTCAGATAGTCAGAGTAATGAGTAATGAGCCAATCAAATTATAAATAATAACGAACATCGTTATTAGTAATAAAAATTAATTATTAAATTATGATAATCAACATACAGTCATTTATGGTTATATTGGAGTTAGTATAAGTAGTGCCTACGACCTATCTACTGTATATAATATTTAAGAAAATAGTCTTTTCGTTTAGGTACCCACTACCCAGCTAATAATATCCATTTGTATTCATCAACTACCTTGTCTACCAATTATTAATAATTTAACCATTACGATTTATATTTTCAGAAGACAATATTACAACGTATCTGACAATGAGAAGTCACTTTAAAAAGATATATGATGTAAGGCCTAGAGTAAACTGTTGGTCAGAAGCTTGCCCAAGTAAAAGATTATTAAAAAATACTATCAATATTCGTGATTTTCAGTAAGTTATTTAAAAAATTAAAAAACTTGAGAAAAATCAAAAGTATAGTTTAATAGTCATTGGTGACTATTAAACTATGGTTAACGATTTTTGACTTTGTTTATCAACGATTATTATTATAGGAACCATCATTCTCCAATCATTATAATGAGTATAGTATTTAAAAAATAAAAACTCATTATTCTCTCGTTATTACTGATTTTATAACAATAATCAATATAGTAGTTTTATTAATTAAACAATATTCAAAACAAAATTGTTCTACTTTAAAAAAAACCAGGGGTCAATCCCCCCGCCACCATCAATTACGGCCTTGAAAGTATAAACTTTAGGACAATGGGTAAACGTATTACGTATATTAGGTAGGTAACTAGGTAACTATATTAGATATTAGTACAGTGGTTCCCAACATTTTTAAAACAGCGGAACACTTAGGGAACTTTCGATGCGTCAAGGACTATCTCAATTTTAGACCTTATTTTTCTTATAAACAAGAATCTGAAGAAATAATTTTATTTCATACATTTTAGAATTGAGATTATGAATAAACAAAAAACAAAGAAATTCCTTACAGCAGGCCTATAATAATATTTATAATTGATCAATTTTAAGTAAAAGTTTAAAACTATTAAAAATGTAACGCAATAGATAAATAAATAAACTATTATAAATAAATGTACATTATATTTTATTATATTTATTATAACGACTTATGAATCACTGTATTAGTGCGTTGCAAGTTATTAAAGATAGATTACACATCTCTTATTTTTGTATTACCATTTAATTAAAATTAAATTTTTTTTAATATTACTGTTATTCCAATATTCCATTTATAAATAATAATATGAAGATGAGGACAGCGCTCTGCTTTTTCTCTCTCTGACAAACGCACAAAATAGAGAAGATAAGGTACGCCTTATTTTGCTTAAAATCTTCTTTTTTTGTGTTTTTCTTATAAGTTATAATATTAAAGTAAAATCAATTATTACAAAAAATATAGACAATAATATTTTTGAAGGTATGAGTACCGTATGACATATTTATTTGCCTAAATATTGTCTCAAAGCAATTAAATATATATTTAATTTTTTTTTATTTTTAAACTCAAATAATTATAAATCATAAAACGGATATGTTAAGCCCACTTCATCGCAAAATGCGGACTAACATTTTAAAAAGTAGACATACAGGTAGGTACATAAATTTTACAGTACAATTTTACAAAATAATTAACACATAATAATAATACTTTCTTCTTGCGAAAAACAAATATTACGTAAATGGGTTAATCATATCCTTGAACATTTGAACCAAATTAATATTTACTAAAAGTTGACCTCGATATAAGCACTAGGGCTAAGCCACTAGTAATAAGCATATTTTGATCATTATTATACATTTATACCTTAAGATCTATTAAAGTTTTAACATCATAATATTTGTAATACATAACACACATGATACATATAAATATAAATTATATAATACAAATAAAATACCTTCGCACATAAATACAAAATATAATATAATATATTAATACATTTCTGAGATTATGGGGTTGGGGTAAGCTTGAGAATTACCTATTAGATTCTGAGTGAAACGATGAATGTATTGATTTTACAATGTGTGTTTTTTTTTTTTTTAATTTTTTTTTTTTGTGTCTGTCATCACGGTACTGCTTCGATTTTCTTCAACAGTATGTGGTTCGATGGGAAAGTGAATCTAGTTGGTGCATTCGGGAGGTCAAATTTTAAATTTCCTAATTGTTTTCAAAAGCGACGGGAAAAACAACATAAAAATTAAGGAAAAACTGGAATTTTTACTCAAAATTGGTTTTCCACAAAATCGATTTTGGTTTTTGGTTTAACTCTAAAACAAATGAACGTATATATATGGAATTTTCACTGGTTGTTTATATTTGCATATTCTATACACGATAAAATTTTCAAAACATTTTGATTTGTTTTGAACTGTTTAGGAACATTTCCAGTTTCCAATTTTATTAGTCTTTTTTCTATGAATGTCAACAAAACATTATTTGTTCTGTAAAAAAGCTTGAAAATTTAATACAAGGATCCTACTATATTGTTACAGTGAAATTTTTAAAATATTACAAATCCTTAGCCACAGTTTTTATTTATAAGCACTCAAAGTTCAAATCTTGACAAAATACGGAAAAATCAAGAAAATTAGCAAATTATTTTGAGTTGAGAATTCATAAAAAATTTTCTTTTTGAATCTAAGATTTGAAAATGTAATACAAGATTACTCATAAGTTTATCTACCTTTATCAAAAAAAAATGTCTACAAGCAATTTAAATTAAATTTTTATGAGCGTTTGAAGTTCATAATTTTACAATACCTATTGGATATTCATTCGATTTCTCATGTAGCGGTTTTGTTATTTTATTGTTATCAAAAACGAATAACTGTAGATACATGAACATTTTACTCAATGTTTATATTTTCATTTTCTATACACCATAAAAATTTGAAAATATTTTGCCTCTTTTTGAGATGTTTACGGGCATTGTCAGTTTTCAATTTTCTTAGTTTTTTTTCCTATAAATATCAATAAAATTTTATTTGTTGGGTAAAAATTACAGAGTTCTACCACATTATTGTAATTCAACAATTAGTTCTACAGCAAAAAAATCAAAACATCAAAAATATGATACTAATAAGTTATCTCATTCACCATCTAGTAAAAAGAAATCCATAAATAGAGTAAGTACACTTATTTATTATTAAATACCTATAAATTCTTTATTATATATTATAGCCATAACTCATAAGGGTAGGATATAGGTAGGTATAGTCTATACCGTATAGGTATTTCCTATTTATATTATAATGATTACTCACTATAGGTACCTACTCTTAAATCTTAATAGTCTATTCAATTCTATACTAAGTGGCTAATTTATAATTCTACTAGTATACCTACATTATAGTTTATATAGATTACCTATATACCTAGTTAATCTCAAAACAAATATTTATAATATTTTAGATTATGATATTGTTGAAGTTCGTCCAATGAGAGCCGAGAGGTTTCTCCACTCTCTGAATCATGTCTTTCATTAGATTACGATTTAATTGTTTAAAAAATTGATTACTATGGTAGATGACAAAAATATTTTCTTAAGTGCGTTCAAAATTCAAAGAATAAAAATTTTTTTTTTTGAAATTATTTGTTATAGGTACTATATATGGTAAAAGGGAGTTTATGAGTTATAGGTATATAGAAAACTCATATTATGATCATACATAGTTAATACACAAAACAGTACCTAATACCTATGATAAATAAAACTATTTTATTTTTGGACTTAAAAGAACCTATTTAATTTAAAAATTCCAGTTCGGTTCTGGTACTTTATTTATTAAAATAATGGTTTAGGTTCCGCTTCCGGTTCTTAATATTATAAAGGTTCTAGTTCCAGAACCGGTTCTTTTAAGTTCGGTTCCAGTCCCTGCCTATAATCTATTAAGGCTATTATACTTACCGGGGCCGTCCCGAACTAAAATTCATGGAGGGTTGTAGACCTATCATTTTGCCGGCTCAAAAATTCGTTTTCTTGATTTCCTCGAAAACTATTTCAATATCTTAGATTCATTGTATTAGAGTTTAGTTCATTCATTTGCATGTTTGCATCGTGTATTCACATAATAACATGTGTTATGTAACATTATTTATTCCCCCCCCCCCCACAGAAATTATTTTAATTTTTATGATTTTACACATAGGATGAGCGTTTATTAATTTTCAATTTAAAAATTACACTTTTTGCTGGTATGGTAATAATAATACAAATTTATTATAAACTTCAACTATTAAATAAATAATAATTTAATAACAGATAATATTTTAATTTTATGTTGTTTTAACGTTGCCCACTGTTCAGATATTAGTGAAATGTTTAAATTATCTAATATATCTTTTTGTGCATTTAAAATCAAAAGTGAATTTAATCGTTCTTCACATGTAGTAGACCTTAGATAATTTTTAATTGATTTTAGTTTGCTGAATGTCCTTTCATTAGATGCTACTGTAACTGGTGTAGTAAAAGCTAAACAATCAAGTATATTTGAGTATTTGACAATAGAAAAATATTTTAAACCAATTCAGATTTCTGCATAACTCCGTTTAGAGATTTACTTGAATTCAAATTTTATTTATTACACATTCTAAACAGTACTTCACATTCTGATTGAACTGCATCAAAGTCAGATATTTTTTATCCATTACTTTCTGGAGGAAATAGCAAAAAATAAGAACCTTGAACGTTTTGAAGTGATATGTTTGAAATAGTTAATAGTTGTCTAAAAATTTCAAAAAGCCGTTGAATTGTAAGTATGTATTTTTTTAAATTGTCTTTGGACAAATTAATAAGTGTATCCAGAACACTTTTAAATTCTTTCTTAAAAAATTATTTCATTTAAAATGTCTATTTGGTTGTTTGTACTTGAATCTAACCAATTTGGAGCTCTTCTGCTTGTTCGGTGGTGAGTTGTAAAGTCTGACATCGAATCCACTTCTCCTGTTTTAGTAAATAAAGATGCACCATCAATAAGGTTGTCTATAGAGTTGGTATCAGGCATCAGTCCTGAATTATAGCAGTTATACGTAGATTCTAGCAAGTAGCAGTGTTGTCGTAGTAAGGTTGTATGTTACCTTCTTAAATATTATATAGGCATGGTATCTAAAGTACCACTATAGTAGGTACTATACCTATGTTTTAACTCATCATTCTTGATTACAGAACTTAAATTATGAATGCGCAGATAATGATGAAGATTTCGGGTTTGAATCAGTTGAAAATAGCAATCGAAGATATTATTCTGCCGGAACCCACCAACCCCACCTTGCAGAAAACGCATCTAAGACATTAAGCAGCCAGCAACTTTCGTTACATTCAGAAAATCCGAAAGAAACAACCAAAAAAAAAGGGTAATAATAGTTTATATTATATTCATTGCTAATTTAAATATCTACTACAATATAATAGTTGCAACTTATAAGACATAAGATTTACTGGCAAGTTGAATAAAATACAACTTTTTTTTACTGCTTTCTTTTTTTTAACCCTGGAGCGCATTAATTTATTTTTGAAATTGACTCCTCAATCCTCAGACAATAATACTTTTATATACTTACCTTTACTTACGAGTTACGTATACTGCATACAGTATTCTAGATTTTTCCCGAGTAAATAGATCTATATAAAAATATTAATTTAAAATCAATAATTAAACAACTAAAGCAAAACCCTAAGACATGGTTCTTACATATTATGACGTATTAGTTAACCAGTAATCAATAATATTAATAGAAACCAACACATTATATTCATGAATAGGTTAGGTAGGTATACCTAATGGCTAATACTAAAATAATTTGTCATTGCTTTGTTTTAGTAAGTTTTTTCAAAATACAATGGATGAATCATACCAACGATTTCTTGAAGAAATGACAAACGAAGTAGTAAGACTTGACTTGTCAACAGATAAAGCATTGAAAAATGTTTTTCGTAAACATATAAAACACAATATTGGAAAGCTTGATGAGGTAAGTTGTGGTGTTGTGCTTACCTATAATTATAATTATGTGTTAATGTGTTATTTATTCAATAAAAAAAAAAAAGTTGTTGGAAATATTTTATTCTAATAGAAGTAGATTAAATAGGATAATAAATTAGTATCGGAAAATGTTTATACAAATATAAAGCTATTTTATTTACTACCTACTTATACTACATTTAAAAAAAAATTTATTACCACCAAAAGAAAATGGTGCCTCAAATTACTATGGTACCTATTTCAGAGATGAAAGATTTTAGTTTCATTTATTTATATTGATTATTGATTTTTTTATTAGTATACAATTTATAAATAAAAAGCCAAAGAGTCATTTTATAAATATGATTAAGATAACATATTTAATTAGTACCTACCTACCTACTCTAACAAGGGCGCCTATTAATCAAAACCTAGGGGGGGTGACAAATGACAATATCATAAAAAAAAACTAAGAACCAACAAAATTGCTTTTATTAAATAACGAAAAATATAAATACAACAAAGTACATAAATAAACGATGTACCTATGTAATATGTTATGTAGACATGTGGTATAATATCGTCAGAAAAATGTTTAGTTTTTGACAGTTAAAAAAATTGCTATCAATTCATATTTGTTTAAGGGAGTGATATGTCACCCTCTTGCATATCCTGGTGGGTGTTCTTGTCAACTAGGTAGTTAATTATGTATATCGAATAGTACATGTGCATACCTATCATTTGTCAATTAGGTAGGTACCTATATGATGTAATGTTGTATACAAATATAAACAAACCATGAAATTTAAGATTTTTATTTTATTTAAATGCAAAATATTTACATTATAACATTATATAAATACGTAGGTTGTTACTTTTGAACATATTGACTATAATATAATTAAGTTTTTTCCATGTTAGAGGTACCTATTGACTATTATATATTGTTGCATATCCTTTGGAAGATTAAGCTAATATAACAGCATATGATCAAATATTGATTTAAAATTAACTAAAAACTTATAAATAGGTAGTTTTAGTAATTAAGTAGGTACCTACTAATAATTAACGCACTTAATCCTTAACTAAAGTGGTTAATAAATAATGAAAAAAGTTATCTGAAGTTATAGGCTTAAAACTGTTAGGTACCTAACATAGGTATCATAACTGTTAAACACTTAAATCAAGAAGAAAAAGATTTGTTTGTAGGTATTACGTTTTAAGTTCTAGGTCAAGTGTCAACGTTGTACATATTATTGAATAATTGGTGGAAAATTGTTTCTATTAACAAAACAATACTTTTGATATTTCAATATTTTTTCACAGATATTATTTTACATTGAAGCTGAATATCATTAAAAATTATCAATTTATTATTTATTATAGGTACATTTTAGTAATAGTTTTAAGCACAAAATAAACTTGTTTTAACAATGCATAAACCATAATTGTTTGTAATTTAATCTCTTTCAAATAATTTTAGAAAAAAATGATGGCAGAAGTGATGAAGGTGCAAGCATTATTGGATTTACCGTTAGACAATGATGATCGATATTCTGGAATTGATGACATGCCCACATCTACAACAAACAATGCAACTAATGAACATGATTTGCCCGCATTAAAATCGCCAAAATAGTTTTTAAATTACCAAGATTCATTAAATAATGTGTACAATTATTTTTATTTTAGATTCTGAGTGGAACGATGAATGTATTGATTTTACAATGATGTGTGTTTTTTTATTTTTTTATTTTTTTATTTTTTATTTTATTTGTGTCTGTGTACACGATAAGTAGTCGAAATAATGCTTCGATTTTCAACTTCAGTATCTTGTTCGATTGAAAAGTGAATATAGTTGTTGCATTATAGGGAGGTCAAAATTTAAAATTCCCATTAATTTTCAAAAGCGCCAAGAAAACCAAAAGAAAAATTAATGAAAAACGCGAATTTTTAAGCAAAATCGAATTTGGTTTTTGGTGGAACTCTAGAACAAATAATATTTATACATGAAATTTTCACTGATTGTTTATATTTGCATTTTCTATACACGATAACATTTTCAAAATATTTTGATTTATTTTGAACTGTTTAGGGACATTTTCATTTTTCATTTTTTCTAAAAATATCAATAAAATTTAATTTGTTGGTTAAAAAAACTTTAAATTTTAATAAAAGGCTCCTAGTATATTGTTTCAAAGGCAGAAGAAAAATATTAAAAATCCTTAGTCACAGTTTTTTTTTATAAGCATTTAAAGTTCAAAAATTGACAAAAATGGAACAATCACGGAAATTAGTAAATTATTTTGAGTTGAGAATTCGTAACAATTTTTCTTTTTAAATCTAAGGTTTTAAAATGTAATACAAGATTCCTTATGAGATTATCTACTTTTATCAAAAAAAAAAAATGTCTATAAGAAAGTCAAATTAAATTTTTATGATTGTTTGAAATTCAAATTTTTACAACATTGGATATTCACTCGATTTCTCATGTAGCGATTTCCTTATTTTGTTGTAATTGAAAAACGAATAACTGAAGATACATGAAAATATCACTGAATATTTATATTAGCATTTCATATACACCATACAATTTTTAAAATATTTTGACTCTTTTTGAGCTGTTTATACGGACATTTTCAGTTTCCAATTTTTTTAGTTTTTTATTCTATAAATATCAATAGAGTTTTATCTGTTGGGCCAAATAGTGAAAAAATTTAATACAAGGCTTTTGATATATTGTTACAATATAGGTTGAAAAATATTAAAAATACAGAAGCACAATTTTTTTTTATAAGAATTTAAAGATCGAATTTTGACAAAATTTATGAAATTTAAAATTGAATAATTATTTTGTAGTTAAAAATTTATAAAATATTCAACTTTAATCCCGAATAAAATAAAAATTCTTACTTAATCATTTTTTTGCATACTTCTTTAATTTTGAATTAAAATAATATATATACCTACAAGTAGGTATTTTATAATTATATTTTGAGATTTTCTTCAAAATTAAATTGTTGGCCTACGTTTTATCGACTGTCTTATCGTTTATTGCTATAAATAATTATATTTAGGTAGGTACTCATTTAGTCATTTCTATATAAATTATAACTTATAACTTATGAGAAATATTTTATATTAATAAAGTGACTAATGCCTAATGAGTAACGATTATCGTCGATACCTACTCGATAAGGATAGCTTATTGGCAATATACATTGTACACATTAAAAAAAAATATATCTTAATTTAAATTATTTACATATTATCTGTGTAAATTATGGAACTAGAAAGGAAAGAAAAATGTTGTTATTTTTCCTAGAAAAGAGAACTCGTTCATTTTCTTGTTCTTTTTTTATAAAAAGGAATTATTCATTCAACGTGCTGTTATTTAAAAAGAATTCGTTCCAGGAATCCAGGAATCACAAATTTAATACAAACATGAGTAGCTATTATCATTTATCAGCTTTGGAAAAAAAATGGCCCTTGAAAACGGGCCCTTATTAATAAGGGGTGTACCTATTAAATTCATATAATATTACTAATATTTTAACACATTTTTATCTTTTTTTTTTACAATAAAATATAAATAATTAATACCTATATGGCAGTAAAGACGTAAATGTAGTCACTAGTCAGTGATATGGTACAAATGCTATGTTTATACGACTCACGGCCCAGTGTCTCTTACATGCGAGTTAATCAAATTACTAATTTATTAGTATTTACGAGTTATAGGTATATAGGTATAGAAATGCAGACTTTTAGTCGTGTGTGGGCATGGGAGTTGAGGCTGTTGTAATTAATTTTTAAAAGTTCAACGCCACTGTATTAACAGGGCGATTTTCATGCAAGCTCACTCACCCTTTTTTTACCTTTAAATAATGCATTTCTTCTAAGTAAGTGCCTATAACTAAATACTATATTTTTAATACTTTTTATAGTACTTTATGCCATTTAAAGAGTGTACAGTGCCAATATCGATATAAAAGTAGATTCGTATTCGCAAGTAAAATAGGTTATTTTTTTGTCAGTTCAAAATAGTCTAAACTGAGTTCCATCATCAATTAATAAGGACCACGGAAGTTTTGATCTATGTCATTTATAAACATTAATTGTCTATGAACTCAGTACTCACAGGTATAATATAACTATACTATAGTAATAATAGTATACCTATATCTTTTTCTTGTAGGGCCCGGGGTAGCCGCTTATTCCACAGCGTTTTCCGTCGAATTAAAAACGCATTGTTTTAATTAGGAGCAAACACAACTATACTTTGCCGCGTTTTTCCCTGCGGCAAAAAACGCCAAACACTGCGGAAAAAGTTACGGAATACGCCGTGTATAACCCCGGCGTAGAGAAGTGTTTTAAGTATTTTTTGGGCAAACCTTGAAAATTCGTTTTCGATGATTTTGGTAGATTTGGTTTATTACATCATTAAGACATTTTATGACTTGATATGAACTGTTAAGTACTTATGTTATACTATTTTTAAAGAATGTTTTCATATAATCGGTTATCAAGTAGGTACCTTGTATTTTCTTTTTTTTTAAATAATTGTTTTAAGGGAATTATTATATATTTATATATAATATATATATTGGGTTCAGGACTTCTTGCATTTGCATGTTTTTTTTGTAGTGGTCGTAGTCTATAAGTGAGTTATAAATTTGTTTTATGAAATTACGAAATTAAATACTAAGTTTGAATTTGCATATTTTTGTATATTTTGTCATATTTTAAGAAAAACGCATATTTGAAAATTTTTTAGCATATTTCGGCATATTTCACATTTTATATTTTTATAAACGTAAAATTGTCGGGAAAAATCATAATTGGATGGCCGTAGTCTTTTGTATCTAACACGTACGTCCGTTTACGACGATAGTCTCTTTATCGCTTAATAATCAACCTTTTTATCGACAATATCAACAATTAGTATAGTTGTGGTAAAACCTAATGGATCCTATACTCCTACAGATTTATCTTAGTATCACGAAAGAAATATAAATTCAAAATTTCCCAAATAATCAATTATTAGCCGGGTATGAATTGTAGGATGAAATGAAAAGCAGTACGTGTTCGTTCGTTAATTACATCATCACGTTTACGTTTTTTCTTATTAACTGTGCTATTTTTTTTTTTTTATTATCAATTTATGTTTAAAAACTTATTTAAAAATGCCCAAAATAAATGATAAAATTAATCAATATATATCCGAATTAGGAAAAAATATTTTTTCTTCAGATGAGGGATGAGTAACCCGTGTAAAAATTATTTTTATTATATTAAGTACCTACCTAATTTTTAGATTTTTTTTGTCTATAATAATAATTTATTAATAAAATATTTTATGAATTTTTTAAAAAATTTTATAAAAAAATTAGCTGCATATTTTAAAGCATATTTTGCCGATTTTGACTGCATATTTCGATAATTTTAAGTGCAAGAAGTCCCGAACCCTATTTATATCAATAATCTCACTAACTGTTACTTGTTAGCTATGAATTGTAAACAGCTTGAAACTATTTTATTATAAGTTTTGTTTTTTTAAAGATAATTATCTTATTTTATAAATTATGATCAATAATTAAAATGAGTACAAACTACAAACCTATATAATATGTACTATGTAGGGCCCGAAATTTGATGACCTAAAAGGCTAAAATCCTTTAAAAAATGCACACAAAAAAATCTTAAAATAACTTATAAACATCTAAAAATGACTTTATAATGACTTAATATTTTTTAAAAATGTACGTTTTATACAATGCATGTACCTATCATATTTCGTAATTATTATAGGTGCTAGCTCTTTAAAAAGTTGTACTCTCGAAGGAGCCTTGCAGTTTGAAATAAATATTAATCGACTTTTGGGCATTTTTTTTCTGATTGACGGGTCAAAGAGTATCTGCCTATAGCTTATTAAATAATCGTAGATTGTGACAACAAACGATAAAGACTATGAATAGACAAGCTAATGGAAACTGAATGCGTACAATAAAGTGTAAGTGTGTAACTTTCAACAAGAAAAATGCATATAAAATAATATGTAAAATGTAAAAATATGTAGAAAAAATAATAAAATGCACCAAAAATACTAAAAAATTCGCTAAAAATACAAAATAAAAATTGTACCATTAAATTCTATATTCCATGAATCAAATTTCTGTAAAGACTAGCCTCGAATGTAAGCATTAGAAAAAACCGGCTAAGTGCGAGTCCGTCTCGGGCACGAAGGATTCCGTACCATCATCAGCTATGTTGGCAACACTGCTTATATTATATATTCTAGGATTTTTAGTATTGAGAAGAAGTAATGATACCGCGGTTCCTCCTCCGTCCATCGATTAACGCGAAAAAAAAAAATTAAAAAAAAAAAAGGATTTTTAGAATGTGTTGTTGTAGCATCCACGGAAATACATAATCTGTGAAAATTTCAACTTTCTAACTTTCATGGTTCATGAGATACAGTCTGGTGACAGACGTACGGACAGCTGAGCCTTAGTAATAGGCGTCCGTACTCCGTTTATAGTTTATACCGTACTAAACCCTAAATAGACGCATAATTTATAAATATGCATCAAATTCCGGGCCCTAAATTAATATGTTTAGTATAGGTACCGATGTGTTGTGTGTACAGTTGTCACAATACTTATTAAATTAAATAATTAAATGAGTTGTTTCAATAATGATAGCTACTGATATAAAATAATAATTAGTAGTATAGTCTTAATAATAATATTTATTAATCCATCTTGAATCTTGAATTATTGTTCTGTGATTATATCTAATAAATAATTATTTTTATTAAAACCCCTTATTAGATACGAAAATGCAATAGAATATACAGCGTCGAGGTTACTGCCTTAACAGATTAAAGTGATAACTGATAAATAGCAAATGTGCGTGTTTACAGGCCAGCGCATCTCATAATATTGTGTATATTTTTATCTATGGGCATCAGAATATCAGATAGTGTCTACTTTTCTATTACACTACTACAGTAATACGGCGAGCTAACGTTAAGTCATGGATACGAACGCTTATTATAGGAATTTCGATTTGGAATCAGTCAATGTCACATTGCGATTTTGCCAACAGGAGTATGGTGATGTCAACTGTGTTGTATGGGATGCGTCACTAGTATTGGCCAAGTATTTAGAAACTTTGTTCCTGAAAAACAATGAAACATTCAAATCTAAAAGAGTGATTGAGTTAGGTTCAGGATTAGGATGTGTCGGTCTGGCTGCTGCATGTTTCGGGTAAATCTATGATCGTAAGTTATTTTGAGAGTTGTGAGTTGTCTATTTGAAGTAAATGCATTTTTCTCTTATTTCCTATGTTTATATTATGGTGTTAGAGCGGTTTTAAATTCAGGAATATTTGTGTTTTTAATTTTTATTGGTAAATAAAATAACTCAAACCATCAGTAAGAAAACTAGTATCCCCGAATTTCAAACCGTTTTAACGCAATCATATAATCATAGACTAATATTGTAAGATGTAGCTTTCTATCAATTAGAAATTTCAGTCTAAAATTGTTGTCTATATTATGAAAAAAATTATAAATGATTATAAATGTTGAAACTCAATTTAAGAAGGAAATTATATTTGGGCACATGTGTGCATCTATAAGAAATTATTAACAATTTTTAAAACTAAATTTTATTAAATTTATAATTGATAAACATAAGAGTTTTGACATTTACTTAAGTATAGTAAATTATTTTATTTAAGTGTTTTATTTATTTCATGTTACATTTTCTTATTTTAAATGTTGAATTTAATTTTAAAAGGTTTATAATGTATTATATTATAGTTTAATTATTTTCAAATAAAATGTAATTTTATTTATTGTATAATATATATATATTTATTTATTTAGGGCAAATGTCAAACTTACAGATTTACCAGAAAACTTACCTCAGTTAAAACAAAATGTTGATGAAAACACACCTTGTTTGAAAGGTTGTGTTCAAACTGTTGCATTAACATGGGGCACCACATTTGAGTCTGAGCCTTTTGATTTTGTATTAATGGCAGATTGCATTTATTATCCAGAAGTATAATATTTAAATTATTTTTTTTTATTGTTAGTTCCTTAATTTATTGATACTATTTTTATAGGTGGTGGAGGAATTGGTAAAAACAATAACTGAGTTGACTACACCCAAAACAGTTTTATTAATATGTCAAGAACTAAGAGAAACTGAAAAGCAAAAGAACACTTGGAAAATGTTTTTAAACTTATTGCTTGAACACTTTGAGGTATCATATGTCCCGGAAGAAGAACAGCATCCAATTTTTAGGAGCTCTGATATAATATTAATAAATGCCAAAAAAAAGTGTTTGTGAAATAAACGTTTATATAATTAAAATTACTTTTTGTCTTTTTAGTTTATTCTGTCCAGTGAGATTGCGCAACTAAGCAGAAACAAAAACAAGTCATGGGTAGTTTGTCTATACATGACCAGTAGCTAGGGCTGACGGTATTTTCAAATTATTTTGGTAAACGGTATACCGTAAAAACCGTCTAAACAGTATACCTTCAAAAAGCCGTCTAAATTTTCTAGTATCAATGGCAATAATATAGATTATAATATTATAGTATATAATGTGAAACAATATTAAAGTAAAAAAACTAGTAAGATTTTATTTATTATTTTGGTATAGGTACTATATGTTTGGGTGTAAACAAAAAAGTTTTGCCACTGATTTTCCCAACAACCTGGTATTTATAACAAAAGAGTAATAACACTGAATTAACTAACAAACACAACATTTTATCTTCAATTAATTATTAGCATAGCAAAATATCATTTAGGTGAAGAAAAACTAAAAGTTAGTGTATTGTAATTTTATGATAATATATTTCACTTATTTCATCTTCTGATTATTACAATACATCCATACAATGCACTTATGTACATTTTTAACACTGCACAAATTTGCAAATTGGTAAATCTTAGTAGACCATCCCAAACATAAATATTATACATAGGGTGGCCAGACGTCCTTCTTATACGGAAAAGTTCCATATTTTAAAAGACCGTCTCGGTGTCCTGACAAATGCTTTTGAAATGCTCAATTTTCCTGTTTGATTATAATACGTCTCATTTTCATACTAATATAAATATGTGAAGAAAATTACAACCACAGTAGGTATGAGAGTATTGAAATGCACCAACAAGTTTATGTGCCTATATTGATGTCATTATGTAATTATTAAAAAAGTATTTTTTTATTGAATAAAAGACAATATGGCTATCTTCCTGTATGCGCTCTACCGGCAGCATTGCGACTGCAGTATGCGCTCTACCGTGTTTTTCCACCCTACAACTATGTTTCATTTATAGACAATATATTAATGATAATAATGAAAATGATTATATTATAATATCAACGCACGTCATTGTTTTGTCGCCGTCTCGTTATTTGTTTCAATAATAATAATAAATAATAAATATAAAATGAAATAAAAAAAATTAAATAATATTTTAAATAAATATTAAAATACTTGTGCCATGTCCCTCAGAAAAGCGTTAAATGTGTCACTTTTATTAATTCCTCTCCACCACGTTTCAATGAGATACCTGTAATTATTATTATATTTATATTTACCTTCGTATTTTTATTATTATATTATAATATATTATACCTTGGAAGCAAATCTGGAGTTGTACCACACATATTTTTCACGATTTTCAGTCTTAGAGGCCGCCATAAACTTTCGATTCTCTGGGTATGTGCCTTGGATATTGGTTTGACACCCTTTCCTTTTACACCTCAACAATTTTCTTTCTTTGCCGCGCTCTTTTTTTATGTAATATTTCATTTCACTATCACATTTATTGCATAATATATTTTCTAGATTTACTAATAGATTTTTCGCAATTAAAAAATTAGTAACTGTTTCTTCATTTTGTATGATTTTGTAAAATTCTATTGCTAACATTTTGAACGTAACGTGATGAAAGTATAAAACCGTGTATGAACTCAAGTATTGTCACCCAACGACTAATATTATACGATCAAAAAATATGATATGATGTAGAAAAAGAGAGTTCTAATCTTTATTACCATTCAACAATAAAGATATAAATTTTATAGTAGAGCGCATACAACAATCGTCCAATAATCGCAGGTAGACCGCAATTTGGGGTAGAGCGCATACAGGAAGATAGCCGACAATATTATGTTATTTAATTAAAAATAAGCGTTTTACTTCGGTAAATTAAAATATAAGATTAATAATTAATTCTATATTTAAGTATTTTATACCTGGCCACCCTAATTAGGTATATATTAAAAAGTGAACCCAGGAACTTTAACCAATTATTATAACATTCAGTTAAAAGTATACAAAAAATAATATTTAATAAATTAGATATAGAAAATACTTACATAAATATTTTATTAGCTTAAGAAATGGAATGTAAAAAATTGAATATAAACAGTTAAATAAAAATATAACTTTAATTCAATAATAATCCCTTAAATACAATATTGTGATGATCTTTAGATGCTGCATTCTGACGCATGTGCCTGTAAAACAAAATTATAATAATAATCATTTTGGTAAAAATTTAAAAAAAAGTTACTCTACTTTTGTGACATAAACCTGTTATTTAAGACATTAGATATTTAGATAATTTTATCTGACAAGAGTTCAAGCTTTAATTGTTTGCAACAGAGGTAACAAATCTTTAAATAACAAGACATTTTTAGACTAATGTGATGCTGTGAAGCATCAGTATAGGTACATTTAATAATTGCAAATGAAAATTATTATTTACCTCAATATCTGGCGTAGGATACAACCCAAAGCATAAAGGACATTGAGATTGGAGTGATACATTTTCATCCTCAGGATTTTGACGTGAGGGGGATGTTCGAGATCTTGATTGATGACCATTGTTACTAATACTATTTTTTATATTTTTCGTTTGTTTATTTCGAAGTTCCTAAAAATTAAAAATAAATATTTATTTATACTATATTACTCTTAAAATATACCAATTTATAATATTCTATAGACAGAAACAATCATATAATACCTATGTATTGTCAAGAATAATAAAATCATTTGGATGATATATCTGAATTTCTCAGTTTTAAAGCAATTATGAAAATCTAGTTTCAATATACATGCATTTTCTATTTAGACATTAAAATAAGAAAGGAATAATATTATATTAATATATTATGAAAATAATTTTAGTAATGTTTACATAAAGGTAGTTATTACTACTTCTACAAATTATAAAATACATATTAATAGGACACCTCACCCGCATATGTTGTCTTGTCATAGAAGTGCGTAACACCAAATTTATTTAAGTTATAAGTATTTTAAGATATACAAACAATTTTAAAATACTCATAACTAGCTTTAAAATGAAAATATAATAAAAAGTCCATGAGTTTGCCTAGATAATAATCTTACCTTTAAATTTCATAAGAGGTCAATTCACTTTAATTTTTAAACTAACGAAGCTACACGTGTTCTGCTGAGCGTACAATTTGCTAAGTTACGCACTTGTAAGACGGAGACGACATATGCGGGGAGGCGTCTTCTTAATGAAGAATGCAATAATCATAGTATTATAATATAAAACAAAACATTATTTTAAATAATCATGTATAAAATAAAATTTTGTTTAAACTCTATATTATGTAATCACTCTATATTATAGTTATTTCTTACTTGTTCTTGTTTGATTTGTCCATCATCTAATACTTCACTTTCAAACTGATTAAAATATTCATTTGAGGAATTCTGATCTTTATGTGTAGAAGGTACTAAAGTCTGATTATCCAACGAGGAAACTCTATTATACTTATTTTTCTTTTTTTTACCTTTAGGTTCACTTTTATTTTCCTCTGTTCTCACTAAAAGGTTGCTATTGTCTGAATAAGATGGTTTTGAATATACTTGCAATTCATCAACATATGTTTTGTTAGGTGAATGAAATGTCTTGTCATCTATATTTTCATCAACTTTTAGGTCAATATTTTTTAAAATATTCGTCAAGCTATCAGGTGTATTAATCACTTGGTTTTTATGGCTATTATTATTAAGTGTAGGATCATTTACTTTTGCATTGATTGGCAATAAACTATCGCCCGAGTAAAATAAACTAGTCTGAGGTACGACTAAATTTATCTTACAGTAACCATTAACCATACTTAAAACTGATGTTAAATATTCACTTTCATATAGAGATTCATCATCCGACATGATTTGGCTATTTAATTTTTGGTTTTTATATGACATTGTATATGGCAAATTCTAAAAAATAAAAACAAAATAATTAGGTAAAATATTTAAGTGATTAAAACTAATATGGTTGACATAGACAGCTAAGACATTAATAATTCAAAATTTAAAATTTAAAATTAAAAAAAAAACAAATAGTATAAATTATTTTACTATAGTCTTCTTAAGTTGTAACTAGTGATATGTATGAGAAACAATCGACATCAATGTCGATGACAATCAAAGTGCATGTGGTAATCATAATTCATAATAAAACCTCATTGTTTATTGACTTACCAATAGTTGTTAATTGTTAATATGATAGGTCAACTTATATACTGTACAATAATGCAGATATGCAGTGTATATAAAATCTTGAAGTGTAAATAATAAAACTATTGCATTTTTAATGTAATATTATAATCAATACATTTTAATATCACGGAAAGTATAGTAGTCAGGAGATAACAAGTAGTAAGTACAGAAAACTAAAAACTCAAATGAAATTCCTTTGTTCATCAGAATTTGTTTTTATCTTATCATTCCTACCATTTCAGTTATCACTTATCACTGTTATCACTGTAGGCTCTAACCATAAAGTAAAATATTATAGCAAACAGACCACGGAAATGTTGTGAAATTCGAAGTTATTATTTTGTTTTTATAAGGCGTTACTAGTTATTAGTTAAAGTTATTAGTTAGTGGCTTTGAGCGTACGGCTAAACGTGCGTACACTCAACTTCTATGATATAACATTTTTAATTTTTATAGGTACATCGTACATGGTTATATAGTACTTACTACTTTCATAATGAGCGTTCATCTTATCTGTTATCAATATAATAACGGTCAAATGGCGCGATTTATTTTGTCTGCAGTTGTTAAGAAAACTGTGATACCGGTCAACACACACCATGAACAATGAGCATAATATTATACGACTTTGCTCTTGAAGATAATCAATTTTTGAACGTTTGTTATGAATTATGATAATTTTTAAATTACTTTAAAAGTATAATATTCTTATGTTTCATCTTTCACTTACCTACTAATTATGAAAAAATATTTCTAGGTATTTAGTAAATGTAAGTTTTGACGTGTTGTTAATAAATGATTAGTAACTAAAAGTGTCTACACTCAAAAATGAACAAGGACTCATTACGAATAATGTCAACTCCCAAGAGTGTTAAGACGACGAAACCAGAAGGTGATAATTTTACAATATTATTTATTCATAAGAAACAGACCTGCTTGTTAACATAATAAATTAATAACATATCATTCTATTTTACATCAAGAAATAATTAGGTACTTAATATCGTTGTCGTGTTTTGTTGTAAGAATGGCGCTTAGTTAGTTTATTGTGTAGTCCTGGGTAGTCTGTTATAATTAATCCAAACCACTCCAATATAAATTGTAAACATGTAAATAATATTTGTAGAGGGAAGCAGAACAATGTTTAGGTACCATCCGACGACAAAACAATTGTTACCATGTACCTACACATTAAGGTATCTAGCTATTTAGGAATTCTAAGTCAAGGGAGTTATATTCTAAGTTTGTTCCAATGCACTAGATCATTAGTCCACTTTCTGATAGTCAAAACCAACCTCGGATTTAGGTGGGGACTTGGAGTCAGAGATACCGTTGTCATATTGTACTATCCAAAACTAATCTCAAATTCTGTGTTGGAAAAAACTTTTTATTGACAACAGTCTTACGATTTTTGCAGTGTTCTGATGACCCAGATACTCCGCAAGGTGTTTAAAAAATTTGAATATTAAATTCATTGAAGCACACTTAAAATTAATTTTCTATTTATAATTCTCTGAGATAAAACATATTGTTATACATATACTGTTATGCGGTTCATTTTTATTTAACATTTGTTCCTTCTATGTTTAATATTTAGGCATATAACACAAAACTGTCAAAGACATAATTAAATTGACAAATGGTATTTGTAAGACAATTTTCTGACAAAGAATGATATCAATATATCATTATGAATTTACCCCCATATTTCCCTATTTGTTGGTGTATACAGAAATAAAATTCATACAGCATAATAAAATAGATATACTGCCACACCAAGCTCATTTTAGTAATTTTTTTTTATTTATAAAAATATTTCAGTTATGGACACAATTTCTGATATTGAAATAATACGAAGCCTTTTATACTGTTTCCAAGGAGTTGATAGCCATTGGATAGAATTCAATCAAAACGAAAAACAATTTGTAGTTACAGCACGAGTATATACTTGATACATTTTTATTTTTGCATCTTTATTCATTTATTTATAAAGTATTTTTAATTTATAGTTAGACTTTTACCAAACTAGCAAAGTAAATCGGCTAATGGAACTTGGATATCTACATAACATAGTGCAAGAGTATATTGAAAATAACAGTGACAACAAGAATGGCTCCGTAGCTTCAGGAATAGCACATTGTTTGCATGAGGAACTATGTATTTATTATGACAGTATTAACAAGTTGCAAAAAGAGGTTGTTCAATTGTATTATTGGGTATCCCGTCATTTCGTCGTGGTAATTTCGTCGCGCGTCAATTCGTCGCGGTCATTTGGTCGCACGACAATTGGACGCATACGACATTTCGTCGCGTGTAATATCGACGCATGCTATATTTGGTCGCGCGTCATTTAATCGCATATATTTATATAGGTATTTAGCTAGTATTAGATTAAATAGATTACCTTGTCTTTTTGGGTAGGAACATTTAATAATATAATATATTTAATAATTCTATAGTATCTTTATAATTTAGTGGTAGTGGTGTAGTACCTACCTTCTTTATTATTTATTTTTATTTCAGTAGGTAATTCATTATTTGGTTTTTACGTGAGTCTTTATCGAATATTCGAATTATTACAGTGTACCTACTCATCAGTCATCACGAGTCTCTACTCTCTGCCGATTATAGTGTTATACAGTACCACCTATACACGTCTACGTATATATACGTCTTGCTTGGTCCACGCAATATAACAATTACTATATATTTTACAAAATATAAAAATTATGCCTTTACAATTTATAAAAAGTCAACGAGGGCATGATCTTTTAATTCATGAGGTGAAAAAATACCAATATACTAGCTGATCCCCTGCACTTCGTTTCCCGTTAAATGTACCAACTCTATATGACTCAAACATTGTTCAATGCGTTATTTAATATTCGGTGTATGATGTTATAGATTTATCTTAACTTTTCTGTTGCCCGGAATAAAAATTCTGTTTCGCAGCAGTATATTATCAGGTAGGCAATCTACCCGTGGTAGATCGTGGACCCCGTGCTGTTTGTACGTAAGTGTATGATTTAACTCAAAAAGTACCAAAGTTATACCAAGTTTAACGTTTTTACTTAATTCCACCTACCTATAAATCCTAACCTAACCTAACCGTACTAAAATCCGATGAATAAAAAAAACCAAATTTAACCCTATTTAAATTAGGGTATCTTCTTCCCATAGGTCTAATCTACACACAATCATTCATTCATATATAAGATATATTGACAAAAAATAATAATACAAATCAACAAACATGCCCGATTAACCAATAGCAACCAATATAATATAATACACCATAGAGTAAATAAAGACAACGGTATCGAGTTCAAATCCCAGACATCAATAAATAGTTTTTGCAGTTTTTCTAATTATTCGGTTGACATTTTAAAAATTTTCTTTCGTAAAAACTCGCTCCCCGACATTCTCTATCATTTAAAAAAGATTTGAGCAAAATCGGCCCAGCCGTTCTCAACTGATGCAATTTCGAATTTTTTGTCTCCATTTTTATATATATAGATATCTCAATAAGCTAAAATGACTGATATGTAAAATTATCATTATTATTTAGAATATACCTATATGCGATAAAATGACGCACGACCAAATGTAGCATGCGTCGATATTACACGCGACGAAATGTCGTATGCGTCCAATTGTCTTGCGACCAATTGACCGCGACGAATTGACGTGCGACAAAATTACCGCGACGAAATGACGTATATCCGTATTATTGTATATATTTATGATTAGGTATGACATTTATATAAATATTTTTATTTTACTGATTTAGGTTAATGAAGCATATGAAAAATCCAAAGAATATTCGCTTGGAAATTTATTGTGTTGGTCTGTACTTTGGTTAGGGCAATTACAGGATTTGGCATATACAGTAAAAATGATTGATGGTGCTAAACGTGGTGGTGAGCTAGTATCTGTTATTGCTCCATTCGCATACTGTGCAAATCCCTATTTACAACAAATGGCTACAAATATGATTAAAGTGGTAAGTGATGGTAACTTGTTATAGTCATGATATTATGTAAAATTTAAAGACTTATCTAAACATTTTCAGGCAACTAGACCATTAATGATGATTATGTGTCATTGGATGGTTGACGGGGAACTTTTAGATAATTATGAAGAATTTTTTATCTGTCATTGCCCGGACATTAATAACCTTGATATGTGGAACAATCGATACACAATTCGGTTAATACCTGTTTTGTTATGATTATAAATATATTTAATTATACAAATATATAATTATATAAATAATTCTTGTTTAGGGAGTCTATGGTTCCGGCATTTTTTACCAAGGATGATGTAAACAGAATTTTTCGTACCGGGAGGTATATCAATTTTCTACATACAATATGCAAGAGTAAACCTGAGTTAACACCATCCAGGAAAACTTTAAAGGATCTTCGAAATTCTGGAGGTGAGTAAATCTAAGAAATTATTTATTTATTATTATATTTTTAAACCCTCTGCAGCATGTACCTTGGGATATACATTTAGTTTTATAACTATAAAGATCATTAACTAATAACTATACATTGTGTTTAGATAAAGATTTGTTTCCAATGTTAGAACAAGGTAGCATTATTTCTGATATGATTAACAAGGCTTGCACTGAATCTTCTACTGTAGTACTGGATATTTTAAAAGAACAGTTTAACTTATTTTTACACTTCGAGGGACTTAGGCGTTATATGCTCTTAGGACAAGGAGACTTTGTCACAAGCTTGCTAGAAATTCTCCAGTGAGTTATAATTATGTGATTCATTATATCAATAATGTGTGTATTATTAACATTTATTAATTTATAATAGGCCTCATTTAGATAAATCTTCAGGTGCACTTGGTCATCATACATTTAGAAATTTGTTGGACACTGCTGTAAGAATGAGCAATGCTCAGTATGATAAACCTACAATACTAAAAACACTTGATGTAAAATTATTACCCACGTCTGGAGAAGATTGTGGATGGGATATATTTCAATTGGATTATTCGACTGGTGGTCCGTTGGAAACGGTATGTATCATAAAGTATGATTAATTATTATATAAAAATACAAAGAAGATTTTTGAATAGATTTTTGAACGATAAATTTAGTATATTTTGTGTTGAACAAAGTTATAAAATAAGCAATTATAAAAAGTGGCTGGGTGATGATATGTGTGTAATATGATCAAGAGTGACCAATTAACACGTTGATGGACAGTCTTGTGGCCGTCGTCGAAAAAAAACTATCCTTAAAACGACACTTTTCATTACTGCTATAGCAGTAATATTTTTAGTACTGCTATAGCAGTACTGACCTCCGACATCACATTTTCAATTTAAAAATTACTGCTATAGCAGTATTACATTTAAATGTTAATATTACGAATTGTGTATCCTGTGTTGTGCCAATCAAATGAAAAAAAAACATTAACTGTATATATTGATAAATATTATCGAAATATAAATTATAACTTATCAGCTGAAGAATAAAAATGGAAAATACGTGTACATGTATTATAAATACGTGTATACATAAGCTAAAAATAGAGTGCCCGATGGCCCGATGAGATGTCCGGGGTCAGTAAAATTTCCTTTCTCATAAGAGACCATTGAAAATATCACTGCTATAGCAGTAGTGACACTTTTTGGACGGTTTTTATATTACTGCTATAGCAGTAATATTTAAAAACGACCCCTGACATCAACATTTAATATTACTGCTATAGCAGTAATATCGGCAACTGTCCACCAACGTGTTAAATAAAAGATATCCAGGGGGAGTTGTAGGACTTTATAGATATATTTACCATAGCTAGGGACATATATAGATATAAGGATCTTAAATATATTTAAATAGCCAGGACTTAATTTAAGTTATTACTAGATTTTTTGCCTATTCAATACTTACCATAGTAGATGGCTTTTTTGTAGTTGTACGGGGTTCAGTAATATGGAAGATGTTTATGTCTATATAATGTCTACACTGAACTAATTGTTCTTACATGGTGTGTATTGGCCTTATAGTCAACTATATGTGAACAGGCCTGGATCTAGAAATCTGAAATGGGGGAGGGCTACATTTTTTTCCAAATAAATGCTATTAAAATTTTAGTTTATAACAGATTATAGATAAGATATTAAGATTGTAAAAATAGTTACAATTTTATTTATATTTTAAACTTATGAAAAGTCCCTTAGCCCCCCTGGACCCGTTCCTGTATGTAAATATATTATTGTCTTGGTCAGCAGTTAATTGTATCTGGTTTGTAACGTACAGTTATTGTTACATGTAAACAATATTATAATTCAGAGCTAGATAAGTTCCTATAGAATATAGATAATATTGTGCAACATTTGTAGTGATTAATTGGGGAAATAAATTATAAGTTTATTTCGGGTACAAGTCATATGCTACCAACTTGTCAGATTAAGGTTGTTAGAACACCCTATTTTTTCAATTTTAGCCCATCAAGTGGAAGGTTTGTCTATGTATTTCCTGATATCTGATTACGGTTTTGAATATATTTATAACTTAAAAAAATATTTTTTTATTTTTTATTTAACATTCCTAAAGAAAATATTTTGGTGTATAATATATTAGATGCTAAATATATTTTTTCTACATAACCTATATAATAAAAAAATCTTTTGACAAAACTCAAATCTGACGGACCTTCTGGTTGCACTTCAAAAAAACTTTCTTTTTTAGCGGTTTCTACTAGTAAATTAGGGCAATAACATTTTGAAATATTTAATATTATTTAGTAATTTAATCTTTATTACAGTAACTTTTATTAATCCAGTGCTACTCAACCTATTTTTTATGACGACACTAAAAAAAATAATGCATTTTTTAAAAAGTAACAATTTTAAACCTATAAGTAAATTTAAAATGAGACCATCTCTTTAAAAAATTTTTTCTTGTCTGTGGCTTTTACCTTCATGTCATAATGTTGTATATTTATATTTTGAACATCTACAATATAAATAACAATTTTTTTTAATTTGATACTAGTGTACTGTGACACATTTGTTGAGAACCACTGCATTAATGTATACACATAACTGTTGAATATTATATTTTTAATTTATACTCCTTTGATATTCATTTTGTACATCTAGTAGGACATTTTAATTAATCAGGCGTTTGGTTTGTGAATAATAGGCAATAGTGTCAGCCTTAACTACAACAATGATAATTGTTAGACTATAGGAAATATGATTTACAATAACTTTGCTTTACTTAATTTGATTCCGATTCTTAACATTGTAAATATTCTTGATTAAATGATTTACGCCAGCCATACAATTTGCTAAATAACAAAATTGACCATCAAAATACTATTCTTAATCCCTTTAAATATATTAAATTTCACATTAAGGTCTAATTCTATGTTCTATGTTCCTACATAAAAATGATATTATTATATTTTCACAATAGAAAGGAATGTTAACTTATGTTACAAATTATGATTTTTTTTCTTTTTCTTTACAAACCTAAATATTGTTTAAACTTCGAAAAGTAAAAAATTACAATTTAAAGCACCAATTATGTTGATTTCTTTAAATATTTTTTGATTCTTGTATTTTGCATAATATTAAATTCACTATAGGTCCTTAAATATGTATCATGTTTTTAATATTAATTACTATATACAGGTTGTAATATTAAGACCTGACAAATTAAATTACTTTTGCTCTAAATTCTCATCAGTTTCTTTATTTTTGAATACTGAAAACAAAAATTTTAAATTTAATATAATTTTTGAAGTGAAAACTTTTATACAAACTTTTATAAGCTCGATTTCAATTTTGAAATCAAATTTGAATTCGATAACTTCTTTTCTATGTTTTGTAGGAAAACTTTTTCCTTTTTTTTAACTCGTTCATCCTTTAAAGTACAAGTTCATTTTGAGAAATTAAGTAAATTAATTTGCAACTGTACTAATAAAACTTTACAAAATATCGAAAATCTATTTCCTACAGAACATAGAAAATAAGTTATTGAGTTCAAATTAGTTTTCAAAATAGAAATCGGACTACTAGAAGTATGTTAATTTTTCTTTCGCTTTTGGCATTATTCACTCTCAGATAAGTAGAAATAAATAAATAAAAAACAACGGGTTTTATTTTATTTTCATATGTTGCACTTGTTGATATTTATTAACATAGTAGATGTTTTATCTAGTAGTGACTTGTTATTATTAATGTCTAGTGTTCGTTTTGTTCAATTACCTTCAATTTTACTAGCTAAAATGAAGAATTCCGTTATTGTGGAGATTTCAACATGATCTTTGCAGACGATAAAAATCAACTATTAATTGAATTTTTAAATTATAAATTTGGTTGAACGATGTCAAATAATCCCAATCTTAGTACAACGAAATACAAGAGTACTATTGATGCGGTCTTTATTAGTCTTTTAAGGGGCCTCTACAGTCTACACCAGCCCATTTTTGATTGAAAATAACACGTTCTAAATTTAACCATACTCTAGAATGCATCATCCGACATAAGTTTTGAAAACGGATTTAGATTTTTCAATACTTGCTTGATGCATCGGTCGGAATAAATTTTAATTTTTTATTGTCAATATTATTTTTTAAACGATTACAAAACTTAAAAAATTGTAACTTTTCAAGTCAAAATAATTAAATAATTATAAATATTTTTTAAATTGTATTACGAGCGATGCCTTGGAAATGTTATTAAGAATTTATAAGTTTTTTCAAAACTTAAATCGGAGTATTTATAAGAGCGTACTGTTAAAAGTAGAATTGTGTCTTTAGAGCGAAATTTTTATTTGCATTTATTTCGAACAAGCTGTGTGACATGTGACTGCGAGTGCGTAAAGTGACCCCTCACACCATTCTCAACCATCGCGTCGTTGTCACCCGACGCGGCACAAGCTAACCGACTTACTAACACTAATGTCCATTTACGAGTATACAATTACTAACACATCCACAACAGTAGTTTAGAAATTGCCTATATAATGTTCCTTAATAAATGTCATTGTTGAGGCCCCTTAAGTAGGTTCGAATCAAAATTGTTCGTTTCTTACTTCAGCTACTATAAACCTATCGTATCAGTTTTGGAGATGTAAAATAATTAGTTATAGCTCAATAAATGAATATTGTATTCTACCACTTAAATGATAGTACTTTTATAATGATAATTAAAGCAATTTGTGCTAAATTATTACCTAACCATTCCAAAATATCAAAAATGCACGACGTCAATATTCAAGTTTTAACTTCTGTCGGCACTCCTGGAGTGCAACCCGTAGTCTTTTTTTTTTGATTAATTCAAAATAGACATTGTTGATTTTAAAAATATTTTTTAATTCTTGTTGTTTATTATTTAAAATTTTTTGAAATCTCATTATTTTTGTTAAGTAAAGTTTATCTTTCTTAAAAAAAAACATTTTTAATTCTTAAAGTATAAACTTTTTTCAAATATTTTAAAATAATTTTTTCTTATTTAAAATCTAAATATTTTTTAAAAAGTTTATACTTTTGAAATTAAAGAGTTAGTTAAAAAAACTTTATATTTAAAAAATCTTGAAAAATAAACCGCTCGACTTAGATAAATGTTTTTACAATCAAGTTTTCTAAAAATAACATTACAAATTGACTATTTTAAAACTTTCAAAAAAAAAATTAAATCAGATTTTACATTATTAGATTTTCTATTATAGCTCACAAGTCAATATATTTTATATAAAAATAAATATTGATCAGAACAAAGGATTTTTAATTTGTCAGGTCTTCCTGTTACATCCTATATATTTAATTTGCATAATATTTATGAACTTTTACTTTTACTGGGTTGTTTATAATTTATAACTAAAAAAAAAAAAAAATGTATTAAAACTATTCATCTTCCTAGGCTAAGCGCTGTGTAATATGTAGAAGCGACATTGCTTGGATGAAAAAATGAAAGGATAAATACAACAAAATCATTTTGATATATTTTTGATTAAACCTTAGTTAGTATTATAATTGGTTTAATCATTTTATACATTTTACTATGAAACAATTTGGGATTTTGATTTAATTCACCACCCTGGTATCTCTATTATTATAAATAAATTATATCAAAATTAAAAAGTAGTAAGTTAATGATTAAAATCAAGAAATAATTGGAACCTAAAAACAACTGTTGTTTTATCTAAAATATTAAAAGAAATATATGTTTAATTGTTTTAGATTTTTGAGTTCAATGGAAGTGGAAGATATTCAATTATGTTTGTGTTCTTGTGGCGTCTAAAAAGAATAGATTTTGTGCTGTCACAGATGTGGAGGGAATTAAATCTACAGATTAAAACTTCATACCACATAGTTCCAGGTAAAACAGTAGAATACAATTAATTAAGCAACGTAAACATAAAGGCTTTGGTGGTAGGGGGTGGTAGGTTATGGCCTTGCACACTTATGCAATTTTTATATAAAATTGGCATGGATTGGTATGGTTTTTACGTAATACATATTTTTATGTTAGAAGAAGTAATTACAATTTCAAAATAATAATCTCATATTTGTGAGTGACTTTATTGTGTTAATGTTTTGGATAGTGGCATGTCATAATTTGCTCAATAAAATCAATTACTATAATATCCAACAACAAACTGCACAACAAATCAACTGAACAGTGTCCATTTTCAGAAATACGGTATGCCTTGAAGTGGACCAATAATCTGGTGGCAGAAATGGTACACAGCGTACGGCAAATACAGTTTTATGTGCTGTCAGACGTCATAGAAACCGAATGGGAACACTTTCGAGAGGCCATTAACAAAGCGTCCTTGCTGGAGACAGTGATCCAAGCACACAACCAGTTCCTGAAGAATATCTTCAAGCGATCCGTACAAACCGAAGAGACTCACGTAAGTTGATGGTTTATCATTATAGACATGAGATGGTCAACCGTGCAACAAGGAAAGCCTCAGCTCCACCTCTGCAAATTGAAAAATCCCTCTATTTAGTTATTCTGTTTAACCTTTGTGTATACAAACCTCAATTAGTTAAATGTTAGAGTCGGAGGACTCGTAAGAATAGAGGTACTCTCCTTTTGTTTAATTGCAATTTTGTTTAATTTTTGAAAACATACTGGAGCTTGTGAAACTTCATAACTTTTAAAAAACATACAGTCAACGTATGCCCCTCAAAAGTGCCTTGAAAAAGAACATAAAAATTAAGGGAAAACCAGAATTTTTACTCAAAATTGGTTTTTGTCGTAACTCTAAAACTAAAGACCATTGATACATACAATTTTCCCTGAAAATTTATATTAGCATTTTCTACACACCGTGAAATATTCAAAATATTTTGTCTAACATTTTTAATACCAGGTCCAACCTCTGTATTTGCCATTACCCCTTTACTGCACTATGTATTTAAATACACAACCAATAATAAACCTATATTCTGATTGACTGTACTTCTTATAGGATTTATCAAAGAAAATGCGTCAGCTATTCGAGTCTGTGTTAGAACTCCGGGGCATTCAAGAAAGGTTTCATAGCCAGTCTGAGCATGAACTAAATAGGCGTAAAGACCTAGAAAAATATATCGAAGAGCACGGTACGAACAATAAAATGGAAAAAGATGACTTGGAAACGAAAGAGGCGTTCTTGTTGGAAGTTGAAAGATATGAAAACATCATCAAGGAGATCAGTAGTTCATATAAGGTAAAGTAGTATGATTTATATACTATAGATTTGTTTCAGAGATAAGGTGCATTCTAAAGTCAACATTTTAACTTGAAAATTGTTTGCTATTATGTTATTTATTATGTAACAATTTATGACCACTAAAAAAAATCAAAAATTACCACCTTCTGCACGCATGAGCATCTATGACACCTAAATGGTGCATTCGAGGAACCCGACAATTGTTTTAAACAGATATTCACTGCTTGGTTGAAAATAATGCAATTTAGAAGTCATAGATAATCACAAATAGTGTTTTGATTTATTCTTTTGTTTACAAATTGTTATGTAATAAATAATAATTTAATACCTTATAATTTTCTAATAAAAATGATGACCTTGGGATGCTAGGGTAATGCACCTTTAAAGTTGTTTTAATCAAAACTCTCCATTTTTGTTTATACCTTAGATTGATTTAGTGAAATTTTTGAAAAAACTCATTCAAGTGTCAACTGACGACCAGGACGCTTTACACTCGTTGGCCAACCGTATCAACTTCAACAAGTACTATAGTAAAAACGATCAAGATTTAGAGAAATGTGCCACCTATATATGCAGATCTCACAAATAGTCATTCAAAATTGTATGGCATTGCATTTCTAACATGTCTTACTTTTGATTATATGAATTGTATAAACATTAACAAATGATGTAACACATAAATAATTTAAGTCCGTATTTAACATTGTTATTGCATTAATTTATAGGAAATAATAAAAGAAATAATTTAGTTTTGTATTTTTGGATAATTTTTCTTTTGAAAGAATAAATGTGACGAGCTAAAGTAAAATAATTTTAAAACAGATAATCAGTTTTCTGTAACTGAAAAAGAGGGTGGGTTAACACATACCGGTTTGATTATAGCCTGTCCGAAGGTCATGTGTTTGAATATAAACTAACGGAATGGTCATATAATCATGTTAAATATTTTGAGCTGATATAATATATACTAGCTGATCCTGATTAAATTACGAATTGAACAAAGTTTAAGTCATAAGGAGTTGGTACATTTAACGGGCAACAAAGTGCACTGGATCAGCTTGTTAGTCATGACTAAATAAACAGGCATGATCACCAAAAAACCAATTTTTCCTATCACTGTGCATTTTCACCAGACTTGGCAGAAACAGTAAAATTCCTATGTAATTGTAGTAGGAATAACATTTTTTAAATGAGTTTTCCATGATATTAGTTTTTCTTCCAAATCTGGGGAAGTATAAAATATGAGTGCAGTAATATTTATTCATGCAGCTAGTATTGTATAAATTAAAATTGGGGAAACCATTATCCTGGATATACCCATACTTATCAAATAGAGTATGGGTCGAGATCGTTGGAAAGAAGTCAGATTGATTACTGCTAGGAAGTTATATACAACAATAATTGTGTATTTCTGTTGTACAATTTTTATTTTTATTTTGAAATTTCAAAATACATTTTTTCTATAACTACAAGTAACATACCACTGCATATTAAATTAAATATTTTTTGTAAGAAACTGTGATTTGGCAGTTGATAGAGTGCAATGGAGAGGAATTGTAGAAGCGGCATTAGACTTAAATGGTCTGTTTCAAGCCTAAGAAGAAGAAGAAACGGTGATACCAAAATAAAAATAAAAAAACCGTACAACATTAAACAGCACGATGTAATAATATTAACATATTTTATATTTTATTTATCATAGAAAGTAACCTCGATGTAGATCAGAAACAAAAATATATTTATACACAATAAATGAAATAAACATTATAACACTCAGATTTCCTATGAAAAAAAAATGTATAATACATATAAAGATAAAAAAAAATGATTTGTAGGTACAAAGTTATTAATAACATAATAAGAAAAGTTGATACAAGAAAAAAATACATAACCCACATGTGGATTTTTAAAAGTAGGTCACTACATTTAATTGTTATCATACTAAAGCAATATTATTTTGTTGCATTCTTAATTCACTATTCTAATTTTTTATTTTAATTAAGAAATTAATTTAGCTTCAAAATACAATCTAACATCAATAGACTTACCTAATTAGTTAATACAAACATTGAGAATATTTTAGTCTCTAATGTCGTTATTAGGAACTATTTATGGTGAGGGCTAGTGAAAACAGATTTGATATTTTTGACATTATTATCAACTAATATTTATAATTATCTACAAGTTATAATTGTCAACTACACAATTGATCAACAAAAAAATGGGTATGAAGAAATTGGCTGCAGGAAACCTAAGTAAGTAAACTTTCCCCTTAATCATGAAAACCCAGTACTTCAACAATTACATTTGTCAAAGCTCAAATACATGAAATTCAACTAGATTTATTAGTAACATAATGTAGGCATGAAATACACCTTCAAGTCGTATGGGAATTGAAAAATACAATAAAATGTTTTTATTTTTATAAATTTCATATTTTTGACTAATTTGAATACTGTACTTATTTAATTTAAACGTTTGGCAAATACGGGGAAATAAAATTTTGAATAAGTTGACACAAAAATTACAGAAACCATGAGATTTTTTAATTTATACTATTAAAATATTACATTTTTTGTGTTTTATTGTATTGTATGCATACATTGTAATGACACCAACATTTAGGATATATGAATTAAAAACATTTATTATGCATGTTAAATTTAAATGAATATAATTTTAATTTCCTTAAAATAAAAATTAATGTCATTACAGTTAACCTAACACTATAACTGTATCTTATTACCTATAAAAATGGTTAACAATTAATTTAGTATATATGCTACTTATTTTTTTGTATTTATTAATGATACATTTAAAATGCAATAAATTTAGTAAGTTAATCAGTTTAATATTGTGATCATCCTCAATATATGATTTACATATATCAGTTTCATTAATTAATTGCTTTAAACTAATTATCTACTACTATCTAATACTTAATTTTGATAAATATGTAACATGATATTTAAGTACATTTACTACAAGAATTAAATGTATGAGAGAATAACATATATTTCAAAGTAAATGCTGATCTAATTATAATTTTTTAAGTAAAAATAAATATTGATACACAACAAATTAAAAGTCACAGTTCTATAATAGTTATTTTACTTAAATGTATTTACAAAATAACTCACAAGTACTTTCTTTATATATATATATATATATGTATATACACCTAAATTGGTAACTGTATGTTTAAGTCGATATCAAAGTCGTGAACTGCATATAAATCATCCGCCTTCATCAAATTGGTTTTGGATGAACTACCATCATTCTAAGAAAATAAAAATGTGTTATAATATAAGTGTTGTATAGTATTGGTAAAAAATTGAAATTTCTATTTACTTACCTTAATGTCATTTGTTTCAATAATATTTTTGGACTCTTCAACTTCTGTAGCTATTGAACCGTCGATTTCAGAATTTGGCTTTGCTCTAAACTTCATGCATGGTTTGGTACTTCTACGAGTGAATGGGTCGTCAATTTTTTTCCCTTTATTAGCCTTGAGTTCCTCCTAAAAATGAAATACAATATTACTTTTCTTATATCAAGACTTTTTGTTATGCAGAGTAATTTACCAAGATAGCCTTTTCAGCTTCTTCAACATTCCGCTTACGGTTTCTATCATTTATGTAACTTATACTAGATATTGTGCTTGTTCTCATTTTGTCTAAATGATTAGCTCGCTCCTCTAAATCTGATAGTTGCTGTTCAATTTTTAAAACTTCTTCTACTTTGCCACTATTTGTAAACAAAATTCATTAAAGCGTTGATTGATATGATGTTAAAATACAAAAATCATACTACAGTAGAATCCGCTTAAAGCGGACACCCGCTTAATGGGGACATTAATGACAGTCCCAAATAAATGTATTCTACGTAAAATTATTCAGTTGATCGGGACAGTAGAATAATGGGGACAAATAGGTTACCAACCGATGTGTCCCAATTAAGCGGACTTGATTGTTTTATAATATTCTAAACCAATAATTTTGTATAGAATATAATGAAATAAAAATATAATGATCTATATTTTTAAAGTTGATAAATTAATGGTTGTCTAAATGACAATTTGAAATTAAAAATATTTTGTATTAATATTGTTTTGTTAAAAGTACAAATTGTATATAATTATTAACCTGTGTAAAATGTAACTATAATTTCTTAAAATGTAGGATATATTTTTTTTTTGCTTAAGATTGTAAGGCCAATTAAAAGCTACCACACTAAAAACAAATTTCTCGCCAAATGCTTAATGTTAAAATATTATCTTAGATTTAATTTTATACATTTGGATTACATTGTAATTATCTTCTAAAAAATTAATGTTATACATAAAAACCCATTTTGTTAATTTATATGTTTCGATTTATCTATACGATACCAGTGGTGGCCAAACTTTATTTACCAAGGGCCATAAAAAATCCCACTGAATATTAAAAACACAACATTCCGAGTCGATTTGCCGTTTTTTTTTTTACGTAAATATAAAATATTATAGTTCATTCGAGGGCCATATATTAAATGATGGAGGGCCGTAGTTTGGCCATCACTGATTTACACTATGAAATAATAAATATTTTTACTTTTTTTGTTCAAGTTATTCAAAACTGAACTCGTAAGCTGTTTTTTTTTCACACATGTTAAATGTGTCAAATACCTAAATCACCAAATACCAAATCATAACTGTCTAACATACTAAAATATTAAACTTTGGTTGCAGTAAAATTAAGAGAACAAACAAGATATGGTACAACCCTTTTAAAATTTAATTTTTAATTTTATTATTGTCAAAACCTAAATAAACATTTTTAAATTGTAACAAAATCTTATATAGTTATATCTAATACATACAGTGCCTGTGCGTCATCTCTATCTTTCATTAATGAAGTCTTTTTCATTGCATAGTTATGGGGATTTGTTTTGAAACGCTCTTTCTCTCGAACAATCTAAGAGATATTTTCGTGCAAAATGATATCAATTATTTTATGTTCATTAATAATAAAATTGAATACCTGTTCAACATCTTCTTCTTTGAATTGATATGCCAGTGCAGCTTTAACATCTCTCACTTTAATTTCAAGTTCAGCTAGAGTAGGTAATGGTATTCGATTCATGTGGCAAAGTTCTTTCCACTTAACAAACTCGCTCTCTGTAAACTCTTGATTGCTTATAAATTCCAAACGAAAAACTTTTTCATTTGTACCATGCCTAAAAAAACAACACCATATAAACAATACTAAAATATAACTTTATTACTAATTAATATATATCTTTATACTTAAGTCTTAATCCTTTGTTAGTACGAGTACTTCCTAACTGATATACTTTAGCTGTCTCACAAACATCACAAATTTCTGCAACCTTTTAGAGGGTAAAAATATTATAAATATTATATAGACAAATCAGATTATAAAAGCATACCCGATATACCGGAATTCCATTATAATTGCCAATTCCAATGCGAACAAAACATCCTAAGACAGTTTTCTCGAATGTAGGCAAATGCACAAATCTAAAAGAGCATCTTAAGTAAATATGAATAGTAAAAGATAGATATTTCAATGGTTGATTACTTTTCCA